ACACAACTAGACAACTGATCTGTAATCTGAATTATTCATTTCATTTCACATTATAAAACAAAATTACATGGACCCCACTATTTTTTCTCACCATTGGTACCTTATACCGTACCCTCTTCCCTTCATTTTCCAAGCAACTCTATCACCTCTCTTATATATAACCCCCCCAGCACTCTCCAATCTTAGCATCAATCTTCAAGAACACAGGAAAAAAAGGAAAAACCAGAGAAGAAAAGCTTTCTTCCCCATCTTTTGCTCTCCATTTCCATAGCTATTGCATGGCAGTGAGGTTATTGTCACATGAGTTATCTGACCTCTGTCTTGGCAAGCCAGCGCTGAGGTCACTGTCTATAACATCCACCATTGCTGATGCAGTTGAGGTCTTGAAAACCTCTGATGAAAGCTTTGTAAGTGTCTGGAGTTGTAACCATAAGGCTAAAACTGCTTCAGGGTTTGAATCAGCTGCTGGGTTTTCTGATGATGATGATGATGAGTGTAGATGTGTAGGCAAAGTTTGCATGGTTGATGTGATTTGCTATCTCTGCAAAGATGAAAAATTGGTGTTACCTTCTGTGGCTCTGAAGGAGCCTGTTTCCGTGCTCTTACCTAAGATTCCTGACCTTGTTATGCATGTGGAGCCATCCTGCAGGTACAGATAATGGAAATGTTTGGTTTCTTTTGGAGTTTTTTTCTTTTTGCTCGATATTTCTTTTTTGAGTTATTCTAAGTTATCTATTTTCTTTTCTGGAATTTCCTCACTTCTTTCAATGCTTTGGCTATCTGGGTTGTTTTACATTTTCCCAGTTTTTGTTTTATCCTTGGGTGTTTTCAAGAATCAAGATAAACATTTTGTTTTATTTTTGTCAGACAGCAAATTCATGGTCCCAGTTCAGGTCTCTCTTCATTGAAAACAAAATCAATCAGATTTATTGCTGAATTTCAAGTTATTTTCCAAATAGTAAAAACATATGAACAATTGTTTGGTGAATCTCCAGTTTAACTTTAATCTCTGTTCTGTTTTTTCAGCTTGTTAGAAGCAGTTGATCTTATACTTCAAGGAGCTCAAAACCTTGTGGTACCAATCAAAACCAAGCTCAGCAACAAGAGAAAACAGCAGCAGAAGCCTTCACCAACCGTCACTATACACAGAGGCCGTGAATTTTGCTGGCTAACTCAAGAAGACGTGATCAGATTCCTTCTAAGCTCCATTGGCCTCTTTTCGCCAATCCCTGCCTTCTCCATTGACAGTCTTGGCATCATCAACCCCGACATCCTCACCATTGAGTACCATTCCCCTGCCTCGGCAGCCACGGGAGCCATTTCTCGTGCCCTGGTGGACCAAACATCTGTGGCTGTGGTTGACAGTGAGGGAACTTTGATCGGAGAGATTTCTCCCTTCACCTTGGCCTGCTGCGACGAGACAGTCGCAGCAGCCCTCAAGACCTTGTCCTCTGGGGACCTAATGGCCTACATTGACTGTGGAGGTCCCCCAGAAGACCTTGTCCGGGTCGTGACTGCAAGGTTGAAGGAGAGAAACTTGAATGGAATGCTGGAACATTTCACAATGTCTATGTCTTCTGGTGGATTCTCATCTGCATCTTCATCATCTGATGAGGAGTCCATGACAGCTCCAGTGTCACCATTACCGCGGTCAGGAAGGCATAGTAGGTCAATGAGTTATTCAGCGAGGATGGTGAGAAGAGCTGAAGCAATTGTTTGCCATCCCAAGAGCTCACTGGTGGCAGTGATGATCCAAGCTATTGCTCACAGGGTGAATTATGTTTGGGTTATAGAGGATGATTGTAGCTTGGTTGGAATTGTCACATTTTCTGACATGTTAAAAGTTTTCAGGGAACATTTGGAAACCATGGCCTGACAAGATGAGAAGTTTTGTTTAAGTTTTGCTATCATCTGCTACGCTTTTGTTGAGGCTAACAATGCTGCTGAGGCTGGTAGAAGAAGAATAAAATTTAGGAAAGTTGTGTGAATATGGACCATTTTTTTGTTTCTTTATTTAATTTTGTCATGTGGGATGAGGAGTTTGCTATCTGATTGTATTATTTGCAAGTGTTCTTTATACTTTTTTTCTCTTGTTTTCTAAGCTTATGTTATCCTTTCTTTTAACCTGAGATTATCAAAGAAGTAAAGAAAAGAATGCAAAAGGTCTTCCCCTTTTATTTCATGATTCTGGTTTTAAGATTCTTCTCATGTGTTTTGAAAGGTAGTTCTTGTAGGTCAAGGACCTTATGGACTTTGGAAAAATCAGGTAGTTGAAAAAAGTGAATCACAATCAACATGTGGGCACAATGGACTTGTTTCCCAGTTTCAAAGTCTTAAAAAGACTTGTGGAGTAATCATTCAATTCTTCATGATGGACAGCTCACGGGCATGCCTGCTGTTCTAAATAAGTGCATATATGCTGCATGCATATATCAAATTGGCCTTACTTTAAGAAGCAGCTTGAGCTAGCAGATTGTAGGCCATGGCATGTGTTCAGTTTATAAGCTTTAAAACAGCATTTAGATGATGAGTTGTGTCAATGTTTTCTCAAGCAGTATTTTCTATTTTGATGGAAGGAAAAGGCATGTCCAATTAAATTTGTGGTGCTGACAGTTGCACCAGAAGAAGTTATTGTTCATTTTTTTAACTTTGATCTGGTAGGAGCCCGACAATGAAACCTTTTAATGATGGATTGTTCCCACACCTAGCTTATTGATTCTGTTGGTTCAGATCCAACCGGTTTAACCATGGTTCGAAAAGAGAAGATGTGTTGGGTACTGGGTAGTCTTCCTTTAATGATCTTACCGGTGCAATATCTTGGTACCAACCAAAACTTGGCACAATTTGATTGTTTCGTGGTTGTTTTAACTAGTACTGGCTTATTACTTCCGTCTTTTTTGGAGGTAAATATGGCTTCTGTAAACCTATATTGAATTGGCTTGGATGGACAAGATTTTGCATAAACTTGAGAGCCGAGATCATTTGTATTAATATGAAAATATACCTTCCATGGGATTTCATTAGTCTGACAGAAGGCTTTAGTATAGTCATGCATGTGTCACGGTGGTCCTAGCAGAAAGTAGGTAACAGATCACAATCTAAAGGCAGAAATGCAACAGGCTCTCCTTTCAGGTTTGAGATACTCTGATTAACACTACCATAAAGAGAGAATCTTATGGTTCCTCATTGAAGTATTTGTGAACCATGGAAACCTGAAATCCTGGAAGAACAACTGAATATGATAATTCCGCCATTACTAGAAACTTAGATTGGTTGAAATTGTGCTGCTATTACATAAACCATCCATCTTTTTCAAAGATCGAGTTATGCAAGTGGCTGTCTATAGGGAAGGCTATAAGGAGCAAAGTTGAGGGCCTTCACAGATGGAAAAAGTTGGTGCATACTTTTAAAATAGTGTAATCCTGGAAAATAACCTCCATTTGAAGTTAGCTTGCAGTCAGATTTTGTAGGATGTAAACGACAGTGACAATCATGTTCCAACTACAACATACCAACAGATTGTGAATATCTTTCTTTACCATCTGTCCCCCCTCCCTCTCCATTTCTGTTTTAAAAAGAAAGAAAAAGGTCAAATGCACACCTAATTATCAAAAACGTTCTGATAGAAACAACACCTTATATATAGTATCCACCTAATATCTCATTATTGAGTCTTGTCAACGTATCCCTAAGCTGGCAAAAGACTAAACTGAAAGGAGGCTGCAAAGTGGTGGGAAGAAAATGGGGATACTACCCAAATTAAGGCTATGAACTTTTATTTTATTGTTAATATTATTTATAACTGACATCTGCTAACTAAAAAGATTTTAATGGAATACACGTCGACGTCACAATAAAATTAAAATTAAAATTAAAATTTATAGTCTTGATTATTGCAATAAAAGACGGTGGCATCATGCAAAATCCAGTCTCATCAATCCAGCTGGTGGATATTTATTTTGCAGAATGTCGATAACGTAATGTGAAAAGGATGGGTAACAGAAATACGTACACAAGGACCAAAACCAAGCCTCCTCCTCCTCCTCCCTGATCTGGGTTTGGTTTTCCACGCAAAGCCAAGTTTGTGGTCACCAGGTGTGGAAAGCCCCTTGGTTTATATTAAAACCTGGTAACCTACCCCTGTTGCTTTCCATAAGTTTCCAGGAAATTTGGGTGTATCCGCCGTGCGCATAGCGGAGAGTGGGGGAGAGATATTGATAACTGAAATACTTGATGCATGAATCAACCCACCTGGTCTTGGTTGGTTTGTGTCATGCAAGCTAAATTTGTGGTGGATGGACATGAAAGTTTAGCTTGAGCAGAGATTTAAGGTGTTTAAACAACAAAGACATGGGGTATTTCACTAACAACCTGAGATGAGTAAAAAAGGTTATTTCAACATTATATCAATGTCACGTGGGTATAAAATAATCAATAACAATTTTACTTAAATGTCCGGTAATCAACTGTTGATCATAATAACTTTTTCGATCCTTGTTTTTTAAGAATTAATTCTCCATTATCGTAGTGCTGGTGATGAAGTCCATGCAAAGTCTTCCAGTGGCATGGTATAGATTGATTATTCTGGGACATAACATGGCCACAGAGTTTGAATATTTCTAAATAGATGAAATGGTAGAACCATAATGTAGTTTCAAATTTGTATACAGATGGAATTTAAAAGGTAGGACCTGATGTGTGACATAATCCAAGCTTTCAACCCCAAATTCCTAAATTTGTTCAGAGGAAAGTTTTATTCTAGTAGCAATATAGCTATAAGACTCCAGGTGCATAACTTCTCTGTCTCTAGTCACATCAGAAATTAATCGTCAAGTACTATTTAAATACAGACTGAATCAATGCAGAAATGCAAGCATTGGGAGAAAATTTTCCTAAGAACTCCATGTACCATAATTTTGGTAGCAAAAGAATTCAAACCATAGGTTATGATGGTTTGAGAAATAAGATCAAAGCAACTTTCTGAACTTGAATAAGTACACTAAACAAGAAATATCAATAAATTGCCAGGAAGAAAGCAACTATCATGAGCTACGTACTCAACTTTCTAAATACAACAGTTAGTGTTCAGCATGCACAGTTACAATTCATGTAATTCTACAAGAACTTTTATGAGGGGGGGGAAAAGTAGCGTTTTCACCTCTTGAATAAGAACACAACACTAACCTCCAAAAAGGCAGATGATAGTTATTGCATTTCATCTGCTTTCTCAAAAAAGAGTTGTTTCTTCTTCCATTTCCTGAATAAATATCTCGGTTGGTTCAAGGCAACCTCTCAATGTGTCATGGCCAAGCTGTGCTCGCTCATTGTCCCCAAACCCAAACATCCTCCCTTTGTGAGTTACCACCACAGTGTGGTACAGACCTGTGCTGATCTGAGCAACATGGTGGCCTCTCAAGCTATCAAGGATTCTAGGTCTCATAACTTTAGCAGATACACTCCTGTCTGGAAACCCAAGGCTCCCAAATCCCATCCACCCAAAGCCATAGACAGAACCACCATCAACCAGAACAAATGTTTTCCTCTTTCTTGCACAAACCTACAGCAAATGGTAACGATGGTCATTCAATCATGCAAGCAAAGCATGTCATTCAATTAGACAAAATCAACTGGATTCTTCTCATGGACAAAGATGAAACAGTGGAGGTTAGGGATGACAAGCATCCATGTCAACTTCAATATGCTTATAGGCATGTCAGAAAGCATTGATATGCAATCACAATTAAGTATTATCAGCACATTACAGTCCAATTCTTGATTTCATTAAGGGAATGGCGTGCTCCAGAAACAATACAATGCTGAACCAGCTAGGTAGGTAATACAGCCTGATGTGTGTCACAATGAAGTTGAATAGGTCGTAAGGAGAAGGCTAAGAGTTTCCAAAATTCTATCAATTTTGATGTGGATCCAAGTTACAATCAAATGACTGAATAGCAACCGTAACCCATCTTAAAAGCATTCTACAAGAAAAGGAAAACGGAAAGAGAAATAGGTAGGAGGAAGAGTTTGATATGGGCTTGCTGCACAGTAAACTTATATATAGCATATTGCATATCCTGATGCACTCGAGCATATTTCTCCATTGGAAATGTTACAATGATGGATGAAACCAACCTGCACAGCAAGCTGACTCTTAAGGCTGATCAAGTGTTCTGGAAGAGTCTTATCAATCTCATCTCCATGGCCTAATGCACCACAGTAACCTTTCCCCCACGTATATACCTACAGCCAGCATAGAACATTGTGAAACCACAAAAACACACATAATCAACAACCACAAAGTTCAACTAAATTCAGAGACTCACGAATCCACTGGAATCAAGTGCCACAACATGCTCATCACCAGCAGAGACACGAAGAATATGAATTCCCTTTCTCTTAAATGTCTGGATTGCACGTGGCAGAAACTCGTTGTGCTGCTCCCCATGCCCAAGACAAAAATTAGAACCAGAACCAAAAGAGTAAACTGCTCCATTGTCCGTTACAGCTAAAACATAGCTAGGGCCAGCAGCAATCTGAACTACAGAACCAACTCCCTTAAGCTGTTCAACGATTTTGGGGGTTGGTCGGTCTTGAGTGTCACCATGACCCAGCTGGCCATGCGTGTTAGTTCCACATGTATACAGATGACCTTGTCTTGTAAGGAACACAGTAAAATTCAGTCCAGCAGCTACCTGAAACAAGTTGAACCTTTCTAATATTAGCCAAGAAAAGTTTTGGAAGAAAACAAATACCTGCTAGGTGACTTGAAATCTTCAAAACCCATGATGCAAGGAAGATTCAGCAACTTCCCACTAAATTCTTGTCTTGATAATTATATTAAGGATGCATTATTGCAAGAATTATCTATGCTTTGACCTGAAAACAATAAATGAAGTCTTAATCTATCACAAACAACTTGGTTTTTGAGGGCTTAAACCTAGCTCACCAACAAGCTTAAAACAGCAGTTTACACAACAATACTGCATACTGACTTTTCCTGAATTACATGCAAGCATGATGCATCATACTTATTAGGTTTCATGACAATCATCAACCTAAAATGCTAATACATATAGTGATGACAGAAAACAGCTGGACAGGAACAAAAACCTAAGCCAATCATTCCAAAAAATTTAACTACATCTCCTCCTCAAATACAGGGAAGATAAGAAACAACAAAAAGTACGACCAATACAATTAAGACATCAACCTAAAAATACAAAGAAGTTAAAGATCCACTTATTCTACAACCCATAGCACAAGCTGCTACCACCCTCAAGCACATGTTTCACACACGAGGGTGATATGCACTCTACCTGTTTACAAGGAATCCCCTTCATTGCTTCGACAAGCCTTGGTCTAAAAATGGGGCGGCTTGTATCTCTGTGGCCACAACAAAAAGATGAATTGTCTCCACACGTGAAAACCTGAAAAATTAATTGTTGACACAATATGAATATGACAACCACTTGGTAAACTAATCACATGTATTTCAGTGTTGACAAAATCAAATGTGCATGCATCCACAAATTTTTGACCACAAAGGAAACTGGGGGTATAACATATAAAATTAGCCAAAACAGTACAACTTTATATGCATTCAAGGCAAGGATCACTTAAAGCAAGTTCAACTGAGGCATCAAATAGATGAGAAAAGATGCTTTTTAATAGCGCTGCACAACAATGAAGCAACATGAGCTTGGTTCATGCCAAGCTAGATTAGAACTCACGTGAGCCCATTCAACAAAGCTGTGGAGTTCGGCTCAAGTCTGCCGATTTCAAGCTTTTCATCTAAGCAAAACCGAGTTCAACCAAAGGCCTGTTCAACTAATCAGTCATCAGAGCTGGCAATGCAAGCTCATAGATGGCTATCCATACTTTAACAGAGCTCATTATATAGCCAACTCAGACTCATAAATTTATACACTCTGCTTTCTAGTCTAGGCTCAGCTTGCTTCTGCCACCAACTTAATATGGGAACACAACAAAGAGGTTGCTACTGTTACAAAACCTTAGCCCTCAAACCAATAAGAAAATCATCTGTAGGGTCCACATCTTCATGAACTTTTTTTCAAACTTTATTTGAATCAAGATATTCGGAACTGATCCAGCACTTAATAAACCTAAACAACAGGTGCTATTTAAGAAATAAGAACTAAAGTGATTAAGCCTATACTTCAGAAATCTAAGGTACTCGAGCTTAAGTCAAATATCACTTTAGACAGCACAAATTGTCCAATCAATGCATTAAGAGCCCAGACAACCAAACTATGCTTTGAAAAAACATGCAAACAGCTACATGTTATGTTGCCTATGTATTTGCAATCGGCATTCGCTAGCAACCACAAAATTGAAGATCGTTAATAAGACAAATAACGCTTCCTTAAAGACATGTTCAATAGATATAGCTCTAAAAAGTTCTCTGAATGTATTTACTTAAAGGTCAAAAATGCAACCTTGGTGTCTTTCCAAATCATAATGCAATGTATTCCTAGTCTGAATCCAAGTTTAAGCAGGGGAATACAACATTGATGTTATCAGCATTAGCAGTCAGGTAAAATTAGACTTTTTCTAAAGGCAGCTGGGTCAAACATTCACAACCACATCAAACACTAACATGCACGTGCAATTACAAAGAAACTAGATTGACATCATCTGCTATGGAAAGATTATCTGCAGCGCCTTTACAAAATGTAACTGACGTATGCTAACTAACAAACATGGGAAACTGAAGTAAGCTGAGTCACAAACCTCTCCAGACTGCAATATGAATGCAGCATGATTGTGAGAAGCTGACACCTGCATCACATTAGCTGGAGGAGGGAAGTTAATCCCGGTAAATGCTACACATTGTGTTGTTTCAGGACCATGACCAAGGACACCACACAAGCTGGAACCACAAGAGTACACTGATGAGTTGCTAATTAGCAATGTGTGATACCTTCCAGTTGTTATCTGCATCTGGTAAATCAAACTGATGAATAAGTGTTGAGAAACCAGAACTCTATTGATGGCAATATAGCATCTATAAGAGGTGGAGGCAGGAGTTTAACAATGCTATAGACATTAAAAAAGAGAGAACTTTAAATAACAACTTCTCCCATTTTCTTCTCCAGTAGGCCTAATATTTTAAACTCCTCTAAATTACTTTTGGGTTCTTGTTGTGAATTCAAAGAATACTCTTTTTCTGCTATTCAAATGCAAAAAGAAAAACTCAAATGTTCCTGGCTAAAGTACTACAAACAACTATAACACAATAACATAATTCAGCGTGATAAGCAAATCAAATAATGTCATACCAGAAACAAAATTTTCTAGCAAAAAGCAAATGATAAGGAACTATCAAATAACCAATTGTTAAAGCAAGTAAAAAGGCAACCCAACTAAATGCTGATTAATCCACTGTTAAAGCAGGGTAGAATTTGGTCTAATTTCAACTTAAGCATAAGTTAAGACTTCGTTGGGATGTTGCTTTTATTACTTACTATTTGATATTTGTTTCCTGTTTCTTCAAAAATTCCCATAAAATAATATTTGATAACCAGTTAAAAGCATAATTACTCCATAGGAAACTAAAACCAGGCATTTTATTATTCACAAAAACTTTAAATTCCTTCATACTGGTATTTCCTTTTATATCCAAACGCGCCAAAAACGCAAACCATAGAAGACCAAACAGAAACTAAATCTGAACTAAATTCGAAACATTTATCAAGTTAACACACAAAAATTAAAGTTATTGAAAAAAAAAAAAAGAAATAGTTACATTGCCTGCAGAGGTTTGGACCATATACGACGACTGCTCCACTGACTGCAAAAACCTCAAAACTCTCTTCCAATTCCCATCACACCTGTCAAAAACCTCCTTTTGACTACTCGTGCTCATTCCACTATAAACCTCATTCGTCCCGCACAGCTGAAACGCAGCCAAATCCACCAACGACCTGAATTTCGTCGGATAAACCCCGTGGCTCCCTCCGAATGTTCTCGAAGTCAACTCCAGCGACACCAGGTCAGCGGCACTTAACCGTTTGCCTGACGTTAGGATTTCCAAAATTAAATGCGACGGTAATTCCTCTATCGAAAACAACCTACTCCGATCAGCCATTGAATAATTTAAAACAACGAATTGAGTTTTCTTTTCTTTTTTTTTTTGCAATGGAAATGGAAGGGATTTAGGGTTTTGATTTTTTAAAAAAATCAAATTTTGAGGCGAAATCTTAAGCAATTAAAGCAAATTATAAAGAAAGCATCGGAAGGGAGGAGGATTGAGAAATTTAATCGCAATTGATGCTTTGATTGGAAACTAATCATCAGATGAGATGGATCTGATCACTCGATCACCGTTCAAAGTTTTACTTTCAGAGAGAAAGAGAGGAGGCTTGGATGTTCTTTGATCTGCCAAAGGAAATGTTAAAAAGGCATATAAAGGGAAAGATCAGTGGCCACTGAGGAGCTCCTTTTTCTTTCTTTTTAATTTTGTTCACTTGGAGAAAACAATTTTTGATTTTGTAAAGTCAGTCGTAAGATAGCAATGCGAATAGAATTAATGAAATTTCAACACGTATGCGGAAGTTTCCTTCAGATTACGTGTCGGAGGCTGATTGGATAGAGGACGACAAGTTGGCGGATCTACACATTACTTTCTCGTTTGCAGCAGAAAATCTATTGAAGTTTGTTCTGTTTTTGTCTTTGGTTGTGGATTCCACTTGTTTGTTCGATCCCACACGCTGTTCTGTCCTAAAATTTGAATTACACGTGGAGCTCTCAAGTATCGCCACGTGGAGAACATCAACCGCGTCCTTTTTTTCCTCCGGTACTGCGAGCGCGCGCGTAAAATAATAAAACGCAGCGTTTTGCATATTTACAAACCCTAACCTACATTGACCAACACAGTCCTACAGCTATTGCTGCAACCAAATTCCCTCACTAATTCAAACTCGGAATTGTTTTTGGTGGGTTATAGCAATGGAGGAAAATAAGAAGGCTGATGGCCTGGAAGAGGAAGAAGGAGAGTCAGAGTACGTATTGCTTGATCTTGATGCTGTTTCTGGGCAGATAGACATTCCTCCAAACGCACCTTACACACTCTCAGTAGGCTCTGAATCTCATGTCATTTAATTTCTGAAGGTTTTTAAATTTTGGGATTTTTGGGTTATATGGGGTATATGGGATAGAAGAAGCTTTACCTTAGATTATGTCTACCCTAAAAGAATTGTAGTGTTCTTACTGTTGCTTTAATTATGGTGGAACTCATACAAACTTGTGTGTATTTATGTGTATGTGTGCCTTGTGTTAGTTGTTGGATGAAATAGATTTTAGCCTGTTTATGTTTTGGTCCTTTGATTGGAGCTCTGCTGCTGCTGGATTTTCATTTGGTTTGCTAGCAATGCATTACTGTAGCTTTTGATGATCTGTTTAGAAGTGTGCCTTCACCTTAGCCGTTGCCTACCTTCTTACACTCTTGCTCTACCCTTTCCTATCCTACTTCTTACTCTCCAAACTCCGTTAATTATTTCTTGTCTGGAAATCTTTGTTTGCTAGATGAACTGGTATTTTGTTGTCAGTTTTGCATACGATTTCATTTTTGTTTTTATTTTACAATATTGTGATTATCAGGTTATTCTGAATTTCAGGGTCTTGATACGAAGAATCCAATATTAATCATAGATGAAAAAGTGAAGCTGGTAAGTTCTTAGCTCACAAAACTCTTGCCTTTACCTTGAGCAAGAAAGGTTCCAGGCTATTTATGTTTCCAAAATTTTATTTCCTTTCAGGGTTTCCATTTTACTCAACAACTAGGACTGTCATTTTATTTATTTATTCAAGTTTATTTATCAAGAAATTCTAAATGGTCTATGAAAATTTCAAGTACTGCATGGGAAGAATGTAAAGAATTCAGAAACCATCCACTGAATCGGATATTTGCAGATAAATGGAAGATATTCTTCATAGATTCTTTTCCAAAGCATTCACATTCAAGATTCTAGCTGCTAGGCACTTTCTCCACCTCTTATTTCTTAAGCAAATCTGTCAAATTCACCCCTTTACAAATTTCTTGCAGTAGTTTGTATGTCCCCAATAGGCTTCAGCTATTCCTCTTATTTTTACCTCTTGGCTTGAACTTTAATAAACACCTAATGATTGCTGGGATCAGAAAGTTTTTAGTTAATGAAAACTTTTGTCTTCTTAGTTAGTTCTTTTTGCATTTTACTTAATGAAACTTTTATCTTCTTAGGACTTTTTCTGATTTCCAGATTGGAGAATATGAAGAAACAATTGGGACCTGCCTTGTCTTCTCTGAAGATGGTAAACAACTTTTCGTAACATAATCCTTTATAATGGGGGCTAGACCAATAGATTTTAAATAATGAACTAATTTGCTAGCTTGACTGGGATGTGGTTAATTGTCATCCATTCTCTCTCTCTCTCTCTCTCTCTCTCTGTTGTTATCATTTTACATGCTCTTACTCATGCATAGGAGAATTGGAAGTGAAAGTTTCCTTTTGTTAGTTTTTATATAATGGTAAACAAAAATAGCATGGAAGAATTAACTATGTGAGATCTTAACACTGGAATTGATTTTCCAATTACCATTTTTGTTTTCATAAGGATTTTTTTTGTTTCCTGCTACCTGTTTTGTATGTCTTAGGTGAACAGATTCCAAAAGTTTTTTATTTTTCTATGAAATTGCTGCATTGAAAATGCTAATTTTGAGGTTAAGTTGAGTCTCTAGCTTTTAGTTTTGTTGAAAATTTTATGCCTAGGGAGCTTATCAGCGGGGATGGACATGAAATTATTGGCATTTACTTTCCTGTCCTAAGTTTTATCTATGTGGCATTCCCTGCTCAAGCCTAGATTAGTTTACTGATAAGGCATAGGGTTGGTTTATTAATATTGATACTAGTTTATTTTGTTTATATCCTGTTTCAATTGCATATCAAGATTGCTGGGGAAGTTGCTTCTGTGATTTTCTCACTTGCTTTTCTGTTTATTACTGCACAAATTAAGAATTTGTTGTGCCAATTATTCTTTGCAGAAGCTTCCCCTGTAGTTCATGAAGAGACAGGTCCATCAGAAGCAAATCTCTTCTCAGGAAAATATATAATAGATCCAAATCAAGCTCCAAGAAAGCAAGTAAAACCAGTTGCCCAACTTCACAAGATTCTTAAGTTTCGACTGTTACTAGATGATGACGCCCAAGATGAAACAAATTCACCAACTAATTCAAATTTGTAATTAGCAAACTCTAATTTGTAGTCGCTGTTTAATGTACATCGTTAATTTTGGAAGTTACTTTAATGTAATTCGAGCATAGTTATGCTCTGCATTTTCCCATACTGCTGTGTAGTACCAAGAGTGCTGCAATATTGTTACTTCTTGGCTGAATTGTAAAGGAGAGCTGTGGTTGGAAGTTGGTGGTCAATACAGATTCTTTGTAAATGTTTTTAATCAAATGCGATGATGACATTGCCAGGAGTTTGGACCTTATTCTATATGTAAATTCTGATATAATCTGTTCTTTTAGAACCCAAACATTCAACCATGTCTGATAAAATAAATTTGTTACAGTTTTTATGGCTAGTATTTCATGATACAATCATGACTTAAAAAGAAAAACATAACTAGAATTTGACAGATTAGGAAGCTGGAGAGAGTATCTAGTGTGCAAGCCGTTGCTGTTGGATTCCATTACAGACTGATGACTAATAATTTGGGTCGTTTCTCTTGATTTTCTTTGCACTTTATCTGTTTCATCCAGCCCTCTTTCCTCTAGTGAATATCAATCAAGATGCTAACAACCATTTGCATATCCTTCAAAAGGTAGTAGATTCACTGCTTATTTGCTCCATACACTTGTTCTTAACAGGGTTCTATAGTTAGTAAGGGAGTTTGCTTCTTGTTACCTGTTGGGTCTTTTGTTTTTTTTTTTCTATTCAAGGTCTTGCAGAAGCACCAGCCGGTCTAAGAGCACAAGGAAGGTCCTATTACTTCTGGTTTTCTATTTCTTTTTATGCTCATAATGCGGAAGAAAGTGTGCTTATTCTGCTTCATGGTTGTCATGATTTGATTTTTCTTCTCTGTTATGCTATTCCTTTTCCTCTGTTTCAGTTATAACTTGGTTAATTTTCTGATTCGTTAGTAACATGAATATTATGATCATATGTCCTTAATCTGATACAAATCATTTAGCTGAGGACAAGCCAAAGATATTAATGAATGTAGAACTTAATTTGGGAGTTGGAGTCTGCAGATTGGCTGGCCGTCAAGAGCTTAAAGTTTCGTCCAGAACTGCATATTGGCATTCAGATGGAACCAATTTCACTCGGTGTAACTAAGCCACTTGGGCTTTCCCCCATGAAACACCCAACAACTGTGGGGAGAAAGCATGGGCAGATAATAAAAGTGGAACAAAGTCGTTGACTTTTGACGCTGCAAGTGCCAAAAAGTTTAACATAAACAACAAATAAGGCAAATGGAATCCACCCCTACCCTTCAATTTGCTTTAAGCTTTCTTCATGACAGTTTCCATGAAATTGACTTGTATACGTATAGGTCATTTCTCTTCTCCTGATTGTGAACCTACCCTGGTACCTTCCCTCTTTCTTCTTGGTATTTCTTCCTTCTTTCCTTTTTATTTGCTCCACAGTCTATACACCATGTCTATCATAATTCTACTGTTGGCAGGGTGATTGCTTCTTTTTATTAGCTGGGTTTTTTCTTCACTGCCTTACAGAAGGTAACTTTAATTTCTAATACTCTTTCTGTCGACTCTTAAATTATGACAGATTTCATGCATGCCATGAAATATTTTTCTGCTCTTTTCTGCTATTACTTTCTCAGCTTTTCTATGATCTCGACGAGTCTTGACATTGATAGTTGTTGATTTTGGTTATTAACTTGTTTGAAATATTATCTGGATGCTTCATGCTCAAGATGCATGAATATTTAGATCAAGCAATCAGATAAGGGAGGATTACGAACTGCAAAATCCAACTAATCTGTTAGAGCTTACCTTTTAGATGAGGAACTAAAGTCAACAAAATAAGCAGTTTGAACTCAAGTAGCTGGAACTAGATCGAAAGGGGTTCTTAAGGGAGCTCTTTAGAGTCTGTTTCTACTTTTGGAATTCTGTTTTGTTATTACAATTAGTTATTCTTATAGCTACAAATTGATGAGTAAATTTCAAATTTTTGCAGGTATCCAGATATTTTCTCAAGAGACCAGACATACCTCTATATCTCTATCCAAATTGTGTTAAAATGAGTAAAGCATTAAAAAGTTTCATGTATGTGGAAATTTTGGTAGTGAATGTCGACTATTATGGACTTGTCAGAAAGTTTATTTGGTCTCTTTTACTGTTTTTTGCAACATTGGTCTTGGATTTATGAGAGAATGAAGAATTTGTTGCTGAAAGTGGGAAAAGCCTGGAGCTCAGAATTGGAAATCGTACTAAATTCTGAGGAATTGCCAACTTGTTTACCAATTATAGGCTTCTTAAACTATCTGTTTACTGCATGATTTCTTTTAAAGTTTACGTTGTCATGACAAAGCATTCTAATGCCATGTATTGGGTGTTATGCAGGGACTTAACTGAACAAGTGGGAAAAATTTTTGAAGTTGCATATACTTTATGGAGTCTGATTGGAAAGCCCTGGGATTTCCCTGGAGGCTTTGATCAGAATTTAAAACATATGAAGAGAAAAAGGGATGAGCTCAATGGTCAGAAGGAAGACACGACATCAAGAATTAAAGCAGAGCTGCATCCGAGAAAGAAAGTCAAGAAAGAAGTTGAGCTGTGGGTGGAAAATGCTAAAAGGATAAATGTCGAAATACAGAACCTAGAATCTGAAGTTGAAGCTAGCAGCTTTCTCTCACGCGGATTCCTTGGAAAGAATGTTTGTAAGAAGATAGAAGAAGTTGAAGAACTTCTTGAAAAGGGCAGATTTTCTGATGGCTTAGTTGTTGATGATCCTTCATGGACTGGACAGGCGTTTCCAACACCAAGTTTAGTTGGTGAAACAATAAAACTTAAGAAGGATGAAATTTTGGGATACCTGATGAATAATGAGGTTGTAAAGATTGGAGTTCATGGAATGCCAGGAGTGGGGAAAACAAGTGTCATGAAGCTTGTCAACAATGAACTCCTAAACGATGCAGACAAGTTTAATATTGTAGTATGGGTCACTGTGTCAGGGGAAAGCGGTGTTGTTGAACTACAGAATAAGATTGCACGGGCAATGGATGCTGTTATTTCTGAAGATGAAGATGGAACAATAAGAGCTGGGATACTATCTGAAATATTGGGTCAAAAGGGCAGGTATGTGTTAATCTTAGATGATGTACGGGAGCACTTTTCTCTTGAGGAAGTTGGAATTCCTGAGCCATCTGCAAGTAATGGGAGTAAATTAGTGCTAACAACTCGATCATTGGATGTATGTCGACACATGGATTGTCGACAAATAAAAATGGAAACACTTCCTGAAGCAGATGCGTGGAGATTGTTCTTGGAAAAAGTTGGTCAAGATCTAATGAATATTGCTGATTTAGTGCCAGTTGCAAGATCTGTTGCTGAGCATTGTGCTGGTTTGCCTCTGGCAATAATTGCAGTTGCTAGTAGCATGAAAGGTGAATATAGCCTTCCTATATGGAGGAACTCATTCAATGAATTGAATAGGAATGTCCACAGTATCAATGGAGATGTTAAAGACATGGTGATTCAGCGATTGAGGTTTAGCTATGATCGTTTGCTCGATCCAAAAATTCAGAAATGTTTCCTCATTTGTGCAGCATATCCTGAATATTTTGGAATCCATAAGGAGCAGCTGATAAGGAACTGGATTAGAGGGCAATTAGTGGATAATATGGGTGACATGCAAGCAAACTTAGACAGGGGCCAGGCTATCCTAAGAAAACTTGTTGACAATTGCTTGTTAGAAGATGTTGGAAATGGAAGAGTGAAAATGCATGACCTTGTAAGAGATATGGCATTACGTATCCAACATCAGCTTTATTCCTCATAAAATTAACTTTCAATTAGAGCCAAATGTACAAAGAGTAGGTGCCTGTCCTGTGGAAAGTGAAGACATATCAAAGGGAGTGATTGTATGCTATTTTTTTTTTCTTTTCCAACTGACTGAAATTCCCAAGGAACATCCACACATAGCTCTTTGCATTTCGTAGTAATTGTAGAAAATAAAGATGTCCTTCTCGTTTTAATCCTAGTGTTATGAAATAATTAACACTATAAGGAACCTAGAAAGTGTCGCATATGAAACACTTAAGCCTGCATTGATCTTTTTTCCATCTGCAAATGACAAAAAATTGTGGCATACAAGTACGAAATCCACTGACTTGGGATTCATAATTTTTCTAACTTGTTTCATTGCTCTTTACTTTGATCCTTTCAATGGTAGCCAGGTGGTATCATTAACAAAGAAGTCACTGTATTCTGACTTTCTGAGGGCTTTCATCGCTACTGCTCTTTCCTGTCTAAACAACCAAGTAGTATATATCAACAAGTCAAAGGAGGGTTCCATTCTGTGCATCTTAATTTTAAGTTTCATGGACTGCAACAAAGCTGCTATTATATTCCTTATCATGCTTCCAATACAATATATTTTTGGTCCCTATGGTATTTTTTGAGTTGGGCAAGAAACTCTGTAACTTCCCATGTCTTGCATCCTTTCTTATATCAATAAAATGCAACAAAATTACTTGCCTAATTCCATTATATGCTCTTAATTCTGGCATCTAATTACTTACAATAACACTTCAGGACTTGTTTAGAGTGCCTGAGTGATTTTCTTCCTCGTTTAGGGGCTTATATAATTTTTTTTTTTTGTGAAAGATGATTTTATTAGCACTAAGCCACCAAGCCATCCAAAATCTTTTAACTGTTTGCTAAAGACTTGTACTGGCATAAGACATCTAGCTTGTGTAATAAGAAAAATACAATTACAAAGGGAAATTGCTTCACAGAGTTCTTTCCAATTTCCTTCCCTAACTTGAGCTAATGAAACCAAAAGAGCTCTCCTATTCCTGAAGACATGTGCTGTACAGAAGAATAACAGAAATTCAAGATTTCATCAAGCAAGTCTTTCTGTGGCCTTTTCTAAACAAAAGAAAACGTCCAATGTAGGATCCAATCAAGAACCAAACAAATCAGAAGGTCCTGGCAATCAAAGTCCACCATTCAAGAACTTTGCTTGCAATTTCTGCCATCCACAAAAAATCTTATCAAAACACTCAAGAACAGCCAGAACAGAAGAAAACAACATGCTTCCCAAGCTGCTGCAAGCGGTGCCTTCTTTGCTCCCTTAATCTGCCAACTTCAAGGACTATTGCTGTGGAACCATTTCTCAGACGAACCAATGGCACTTCTACTAATCATCCTTGGTACACGCCTTTCAAAAGGTCCAAAAGCTATGCTACAGGACTTCCCAACCTGTTGTTCTTTACTCTCACTTCCACAGCAGATTGGTCGCCCTCTTATGCAGCCAACAACGTCCATCATGCTCCTCCTGGAACTGCTAAACAGCCTTATTCACCACTCCACCTGCATCATCAGGAGTTGAAACACCCATCAGGCCATCACCGCCTCTCTTCCCTACCATCCTTCTTCCTCTGCCAATCCCTTAAATCCCCTGCTAAGGAGAAAGTCCCTTTGTGGCCTCAAGGAAAAAAGAGGGCATTCATGAGAACCCCTGCCAGCTCCAATCGAAAATTCTTTAATATAGAAGAAGCGCCAGCAGCTCCCTTCACCTAACCAAAAGTTCCCCATCCTTGTCTCCTGCTCCCACTTCCATTTACCTTTCCTCCCTTCAACACTCGTTCTCTCCCTCCCTTTCAGTTACAGCTTCAGAACTTTAGACATACTTCACCACATTACTTCCTTGATTCTCCTACTACTCACAATGAATGAAAGGATTTCATGATCAACCCTGCCAGCTACTAATGTCAAAGGAAGGAACACCACCAACACCCATCCACCAACCGATTTCATAAAAAATTCAACCATCGCCTGCCAACAAACTCTTCCACAAAGAACCCACTCCAAGAACCCCAACCCTCATACACAAGTTCCCCATCCCTTACGCAAATCTTCCCCTGCCTCCCACTTCCATTTCCATTGACCCTTCAAATGCTTACTTTCTCAGAAGGGTCCCTCCATCAATTTCTACCTATGACAGCTTTGCGATATCCACAGTGAAACACCAAATCACAAAAAAAAAAAAAAAAGAGCAAAGGAGAAGTTGTTAAAACGCATAAATTAACTCTCGCTGCCCCAAAGATCACCAGTGTTAACTTATGGTCATTCAACCATTCCTGAAAAAACTAGTTTCACAACTTTCAGCCAACCAATTCAAAAACTATTATCCTATACAATTATGAAACAATATATTTGATTCACATCTTTGATCTCTAACTTGACTAATGGAGTCTACTTCATTTACTAGTGGCTATGATTATGTGGATAAAATCTACTGGGATATATTATAATTATCATTTGGTGTTACGTAGGGACGTGCGACCGTGGATTTTATTCTGAATAAGGTTTATAAACACTGGGACAATCATAGAAGCCTTCACCAGAACATGATTAACCTAAAAGGAAAATCGGAGGGTTTAAATTCCCTGAAGGAAGACACTGAATCAAGAATGAGGCCAGAGCTGCATCCGAGTAAGAAACTCAAAAAAGAAGTTCATCTATGGTTGGAAAATGTTGAAAGAATCAATGGTGAAATACAAAACCTTGAACAAAGAATTGAGGAGAGTAGTGCTTTCTTACGTCCTTGCTTGATGATGGCCAACCATCTCCTCCTCCTTCTTTTAAGCAAATCGTTACATCTTCATCGGAATGGTGGGTATCAGAGAAGCGGGACCATCCCAATGCCAAGTCTCTATTTGAACCATTTGTTGAGTTCAGTGACCATTGATTTGTACCTCTCTCTCCTTATTTTCCGGAAAAAAATGGTACGCAACTCAACGAAGCATCACTCCTTTTTTATATGTCTTATATTATGTTAATTGATTTCAAGCATCTCTCTCCCTTGATCATCTATTCACTTGAATGTAAGCAGTCACATCTGCTTGTTTGTTGGTTAGTTGACATCTAGTGCATTTCAATTTCAAATATAAATCATATACTAATCGTTATTTCGTTCAATCTGTCAAGGGGAAAGCATCTATCTCGTCTTTCAGCCCTTTAGTTTGTTATCTAAATCATTGTGATACATCGTTTCCTCCGGGATTTCAACAGGTTTTAAGGTCTGATTGCCAATTGAAAGTAATTGCAATAGCAGTTCCCTTCCTGCTTCCTGCTAAGGTGTAGCATGTCGTGTGTGCATGATTGGCACCAACGCAATCGTGGCCCTGGTTTTCTCCCAGATTAACCTCAAGTTTGATCCAGTGTATTCCAAACAAGCCTTCAGTCATTAGCATGTAAGGGAAGGAACGAAGAAAGGTGAATTCTTAGGAACCCGTGAAGATGTTGCTGCTCTCAAGAAAGACTATAAGGAAGCTGAAGCCGAAGGTGTGGAAGAGGAAGAAGGGAAGATTACTAAACATCTGTTCATGAAGATTACTTCAGCCATTTGGGATAAAAGCATTGAATTAGATGGCTGCAAAATCTGTAGAGATGGTATTATGTTCCCATCTGATCTATAGAATTGAGTGTTGCCTATGACATTGTTGGTTTCTGTGAAGAAGAGGCATTTTTTCCGTGGTTCATCGCAATGCCAAGTGGCATGTTTTCTTTTCTTAAAGAAATTACTATGTCGTTGTAAAAATATTAAAAGGTTGTTCTCATGTAGTTGGCTGCTGAGGAACGTCCAAAATTTGAAAGATTTGAGCGTTCGGGAATGTGAGCAAACGGAGGAAATAATAGTACCAGAAACTGAATTCATCGAGGAAGACCCAGCAGGTGGCAGTAATAGTAATACCATTCAATTTACTCTTCCAAATTAAACACATTGGAATTGTGGAGATTAACGAAGCTGAAAAGTATTTGTAGTGCAATTGAGTAATCGTTTGTGAGTCTCTTGAAGAGATTGATATCGATGCTTGTCCAAAATTACGGAGGATGCCTCTGTATCTTCCCCTGCTTGGTGATGGCCAACCATCTCCTCCTCCTCTTAATAGAATCCTTATATCTTCGAAGGACTGGTGGACATCGAGAGAGTGGGACCATCCCAATGCCAAGTCTATGTTGGAGCCATTTTTGATTTACTACCTGACAGTTGGAGTTCTGCGTCAGATACTGAATCAGATTACTACTCAGATTAGTTATGGTGGTGACCGTTCATTGATTTCTTTTGAAAGTGTAATGAGATGAAGTCGATTCCTATATCTCTTTCCTTACTTGCCTTACAACAATGGTATATAACTCAACAAAGCATGTCTCTCCTTTTTATATTTCTTACATTATGTTAATTGATTTCAAGCCTTTTGTTTGATAGTCTTTTCAATTAGTCGTGAGAATCGGGAGATGCTCTTTTGGAACCATCAAAAGCAAGCAGCCACATCTGTTTGTTAATTGGTTAGTAGATATCTAATGCATTCCAATTTCAAATATAATCATATACTATAAGCATTCTGATTATCATTATTTTTTGTTGGGTCTATGAAGGAGAAGCATCTATTTTGACGGTCAGTCCTTCGGTTTGTTATCTCAATGATTGTGATACATCTTTTCTTTCAGGTCCAGTTTGGCATTGCTAATGCCATTGAAAATTGAAAATAATTGCAATTGCAAGTCCCTTCCTCACAATCTGGATTTTATTTGTAATCAAATTGGCGACGCGAACAAACGCTGCTCAAGCTTGAAGTATGGAATCAATTACCAGCCAGCCACATTGGCACCTGGGGGTGATCTTGCTAAGGTGTAGCATGCCTGTGTGCATGATTGGCACCAACGCAGTCGTGGCCTCCCAAATTGACCAAAAGTTTGATGCAGTGTATGCCAAACAAGCATTGATTAGTATGTGAGTGAAGGAATGAAGGTAGGTGTATTCTCAGAAACTCGTGAAGATCATGCTGCTCTCAAGGAAGACGATGAGGAAGATGGAGCGGAAGGTGTGAAAGAGGAAGAAGCGAAGATAAGTAGGTATATGTTTCATGAAGCAGCTGCTAATGGTCTACTCTCTCTAAAGGGCATTCCAATCTTACTTTAATAATTTTGTTAGTACAATCGGGGCAACAAAATAACCCTGTTTGTAATTTATAAATGGAATTTTGTTGATAATTTGACTGATTGAAGGAAAGCAAAGCAAATTTTACAACATTTGGCAATCCTAAGCCTTAATAGGTAATTTGCTTGCAAATTTTTTTTTTTATTTATTAAAAGCTGATGAGTCTGGTGATATATCATAAGCCAAAATCAGCAAAGAACTGGAATTTAATTTAATTGTACAAATTTATCTAAGATTCTTCTGGGGTGCTTTCTTTTTTCCAAACGATTATAGTGGCTTAATTATAGAAAAATTAAGAAGTATTCACTCTAACTTTTTCATCTTTTACTTGATTCATACTTTGTAATGACCCCGAAACCAATGACATTACTTGCATTCTTGTGAAACAGAAGACAAGAAAGACAATAATGGAGGAGAGTAGGACAAGAGGCCCCATATACTCTCATATCTGTTTTGTCACGAAACAGCTTCAAGTAAAGTTACTCTCAACTTTTGCGATGACTTTGCTTTGGTCAATTCATTTACCACGATACTGCAATTTGCTTGGAATCTTCCTTCCTGATGGGACCTTCCACGAAAGTGACCTTGCCTTCCCACTCTCTTTTTCTTTGATTGAATATCAACAAAGACGCTAAGGCACATTTAAAATCATAATTTTTTTTTTAATCTTTTTATCATAAATATAAAATCATAAATTATAGACAACTAACACACATTTTGTCTTCTAGCAAATACTATCCTTACATTATTGGCAAGGAAGTCTGTTCTCACAAAACCTGCATTACCCTCCTATTTTTCCAAAGAAATTGAACCTATAATTTGTTCCTTTGTAGCTCTCCTTCTGTTAATTTTTTCGTATGCTTACCGTATGACTATTGCTCTATGCATCTTCTCAATGGTAGCAGAGTTATATCATTTGCAAAGAAGATTTCTCAGCCTTCCTTCACTGGTTTTCTTTCTGTTGCAGGTGAGATTTTCTTAAGTTTAGGTGAGTCAGGGCAGGCAGAAGAAGAACCATTTCAGTGGATCTTTTCTTTAAGGAACTTCGGTAGTTTTCATTGTCGGTTCTTTTGCATATAGTGCTGCTGCTTTTTCTCTGCAGTCACCATCTCAAAACAAGCTAGTCAAGACAGGTACTTTAAACATCCCATATCTGTTTATTTTGATTCTAATTAACAGCAAGAAAGTTTGTTTGCTTTGTTCTATTTCATGCAGATGATTTTTTCTAATTTGTTTGAGTCATTTCTCTTATTTCCTTGTCCCCATTCTGTTGACAAAGATTGCTATTGTCTTTCCTATGTTTGGGTTGTTCTACTCTTTTTCCTTTAAACCAGCTTCATGATGGGAACTTATACCAGTGGCAGCTCAATAACTTCAAATGCGTAAAGCAATATATTCAAATGAGACTCTTTTATTGAGATTAAAATTTTTGTTTTAAAGCTTTGAATAACCAAATTCAAATTTTTGATTTGACATATTCAAATATTTATTATAAAATATAGCAAATATTTAACTATTATAATTATTTTATTTTCTTAAATAGTTAAAATAAAATCAACACTTAAAATTTTTAATTCCAATAAATTAATTATCATATAAAATAAAGGTACTATAATAATAAATACAAACTCTAAATTAAAGTAAAAAAGTTTGCAAAGATTAGAACAATAGTACCTAATTATTAAATACTTATTACAAATAAAAAATGAGGCTTACAACTTTATAAAGATAACAAAATAACATACTATTTGCCCATTCTTTAGAGAAAGTCTGAAGTTAAAGGAATAAAGAGCAAATGATGGAAGAAAAATTTAAGAGTAGATATTATAAATGAAAAAAAATAGTTAGAAAGTGATAAAAATTGAGATTTATTGGACATATAATTAAAAGAACAAGAGAATATGTATTTTACTAATTATTTTTTATTTTTATATATTTTTAATAGAAAATGAGATAATTAGTTCAGAATTAATAAGATTGTGGAAGTGAGAGAAAATAGATATTTATTAGGCATGAGAGAATAGGTAAATATTTTATTAATTATCTTAATTTTTACATATTTTTAATATAATTAATTAAATTATTATTATTATAAAAAAATGGGGTCTTTTCAAATTTGGAGCTTAAAGTCCTTGCTTGGATGACCTTACCTAAGGGTCGGCCCTGACTTATACCTCTACATCAAAAGCTACATCAATTCTCCTCTTAATTTAATTTGATAAAGAGGAAATTATTGAAATGCCAGAATTATTCTTTGGAAAGAGAAGACCTGGAAACTGCAATACTGTTTCAACACTATAGTTATTTGAAATTAGAGATGCAAACAGGTAGAGTATCTATTATTTTTGAGATACTCAACACAAAACTATTTAGCTATCAAGATATCCAAACCCCATTAAAACTTACATAAAATTGCAAGACACTATCAAAACCGAATCTTAGCAGTGAAGAAGTATCTGTTAATTATCCAAATCTATTAAATACAAGTTTAAGTTAGCAATATTGGCAAAGACTTGGAGTGTTTCTCATCCTCCTATGAGTTCAATCCCTACTACATAAAATTGTAAAACACTATCAAAATTGAATTCAAATAGTAAAGAACTATCTGTTAATTATCCAAATCTATTAAATACCTATTTAAGTTGGCAAAATAGGCAAAAACTTAGAGTGTTTCTCATCCTCCTATGAGTTCAATCCCCACTAGTAATAAAATTTTACATATTTAAGTTTGCATCATAGTTAAACTAATATAAATTAATTTGAGATGGTAAAGATTAAACTAATATAAATATTTAAGTTTGCATCATAGTTAAATGAATATAAATTAATTTGAGATGGTAAGGATTAAACTAATATAAATATTTAAGTTTACATCATAGTTAAACTAATATAAATTAATTTGAGATGGTAAAGATTCTGTTAACATAAGGTTAATAAAGGTTCAAATCTCACAATATCTAAAATTTTTGTAACATTATATATAATTGAGTTCTAGTTTAAGGTATCTTAAAGGTTATACTCCAAACTTACCTAAATCCCTGTCGAGTTTTCTTTTCAAAAAAGAAAATTGTGTTGAGATAAGGTTGACGAAGGTTCCAATCTCACAAAATCTAAAATTTTTGTAACATTATATATAATAAAGTTCTGGTTTAGGGTATCCTAAAGGTGATATTCCAAACTTACCTAAATTCATGTCGAACTTTCTTTTCAAAAAAGAAAATCCATGTCGAGTTTTTAAAGTCTTACCCACCTTATGTTATCGGGTTAGATACCCATGGGTATCCATATAACCTTAACCCATTTACATCCCTATTTGAAACTGCAAGATAGAAGTGTATCTCAACATAAAAAGAAGAATTTTCTGCCTTTCATTTATAAATTTGTTTTCATGCATTTATGTTCATCATTTTGATGATATCTAATTACCTAAAATTATGCTCTAAACATGCTACTGAGTTCTAGAGTGAATTTCTTCCCTGTTTAGGGGCGTATACAATGATAAAGACAATATATTTTGAATCACATTTTTTATATCCAACTTGTCTAATTAATTTAAGCTCCTTACAAGTATGTATCAACGAGTTTATGCAGTCTACTTTATTTTTAAATGTGGTATGATTATGTTGATAACATATACCAAAATATATTATAATGTACCATTTGGTGTTATGTAGGTACCTGCAGCCATGGATTTTGTTCTAAATAAGGTTGATAAACACTGGGACAACCATAGAAGTCTTGACCAGAACATGATTACCCTAAAAAGAAAACTGGAGGGTTTAAATGCCCTAAAGGAAGACACTTAATCAAGAATGAGACCAGAGTTGCTTCCGAGTAAGAAACTCAAGAAAGAAGTTCATTTATGGTTGAAAAATGTTGAAAGAATTAATGGTGAAATACAAAACCTTGAACAAAGAGTTGAGAAAACCCCTATTTTCTTATGTGGATTTCACACAGAAAATGTTTTAAAAAAGATACAAGAAGTTGAGGAACTTCTGGCACAGGGTAGGTTTGATCAAGGTTTGGTAGTTGATGAGTTTACATGGATAGGACAAGCTTTGGCAACAACAACTTTAGTTGGAAAAGCTGCAGATACATGTTTGAAAGAAATTTGGACATATTTGATGGATGATGATATTCCAAAGATTGGTGTTTGGGGAATGGGAGGAGTGGGGAAAACAACCATAATGAAGATTATCAACAACCAACTTTTAAAAGAGACTAAAAAGTTTAAGATTGTGATATGGATCACTGTATCAAGGGAGATGAACATCTCCAAAATTCAAAATGGTATCTCACGTAAAATGGGAGTAACCCTTCCTGAAGATGAGGATGAAACAATAAGGGCAGGAATGCTATACGAATTGTTGACTCGAAAAGGCAGGTATGTGTTAATTTTGGATGATCTATGGGACACACTTTCTCTTGAAGAAGTAGGAATCCCTCAGCCTTCTAATGGAAGTAAGTTAGTGGTAACAACTCGGATGCGAGATGTGTGTCGCTATTTGAGTTGTCGAGAAGTTAAAATGCCTACTCTTCCAAAACAAGATGCATGGAGTTTGTTCTTGGAGAAAGTAGGTGGAGATGTTTTGGAATATGAAAACCTGTTACCAATCGTGGAATCGTTGATTGAATGTTAGAACACCAAACTGAAAAACTTAGAAATTGGCTCAAGGCGGTATCAATGTCACTATCCTTAAGGTTTATTCGCCCCCACTTAAGTGTGCAAAAGATTACCGCGTATAAACCTCGAAGATACAATGAAGCCCAATGATTGATGCGTTTTGCACTGACGAAATCAATTCACTGAGCACTCACCGGAGTATAACAAGATTATCAAACTTCTATAATACTTTTCTGCAGGAAAATAGTATAGAGAAGAAAACTTGGAAAATGTTTGAGAAAGAAGATTGAGAGATATTGTTGTTTTTTCTTTTTTTTCAATGGATAATGAGGGTCATCTTTTATAGGCATAGATGCCTGTTCTCAAC